GTTTTGCTTTTTAATGGAAATTGGCTCATTGGTTTCCTAAAGAGACCACAAGAACACCATTAGATCCTCTTAGGAAACTATCAAATGCATTTAGAATCAGCTACTGGTCACCTGTTAAACCATCGGGATGTTAAACCATCGAGATGTTAAACAACCGGGATCCTTTACATTGTGATATCAACCCGTTAAATAAGCCAAAACACATTGCAAAATGTTTCAGCAGTTTTTTCAGCAGGGTTTTGTTTTTTGCACTTTCCTCTAAATGGGTGTGATTTTAGCATTAAGTTAGCTACAACTGATCCCATGCTGTAGTGTGGCACACTTAGCCTGCTAGCTAAGCTCTAAACCCCACAGAACAGGTTTGATTTCAGGTTATTGTCACTCTACTTTTGCTCTCTCAAACATTTTCATGATCTAAATTTTTGTCAACAAAGCACTAGTTTTCCGAATCAAGCCTGTACTGTGGTGTGTGGCACTGCTTGGGTCTGTAGCTGCTTGCTAAGCTAACGTTAAGGTAGTCTATCAGGCTACAGATCCAAACTCCACAGAACTTTATCATTCTGTCCCATCAGTGATCGTTTGACTTTACTTCCTCAGATTTTAATCATTATTTTTAGTCATCTAACCTTGTGTCAGTGCTTCAGTTAGCCAGAATCAAACACATTCTGTGGTGAGCAGAGCTGTTAGCATAAGCTAAGCTAATGCTAACATCTCCTCTGTCCTAGTTAGCAGAACTGTTTAACATTTATCAGTTGTTTGATAGGCGGCTTGACATTTACTGAATATAGGCTTGAAAATCATGCACTGTGTTCACTTTTTTGGTACCCATGTAAAGCAAACTCCTTTTTTTCGATTTTAAAATAGCGCTAGACAAGATGCCAAGTGATTTCTATCACTTCTTTTTTTTTTTACAGAAATACTGTCACACTACCCCGGTGAAATGTCAGGAAGGTATGAAGGTATGAAAAAAAAAGATAACACCCAAGCCTAACTGTGGTACCTGAAGACTTCTTCACCATATACAATATACAGTGTATACAGTATGTACATATTCTAACACTTAGTGGTTCTAAAGTTTTTCCAGTTTAAGAAAACTGGATATTTTTAACTTTCAGGAAATATTCCAAATCAATAAACTGCAAATAAGGATGCACTAACGTTCTGGCGACAGTAAGAAAACTGGACAATTTGAACGTTTAGAGAGTCAGTGTTCTAAGAATATCAAACTGTTGGTGCAAATGAGGTTGAGGTAACGTTCTGGGAAATGTCGTTCTAATTTCAGTAAAATGTTCCATGAATGTTAAGAAAACTGGACATGTTGAATGTACATGGAACATTTCACTTAAGCTAGAACAACATTTCCCAGAATGTAACTTCAAACTCTTTTGCACCAACAATTTGATGTTCTTGGAATGTTGATTCCCTGAATGTTCAAACTGTCCAGTTTTCTTAAATTGGAAGAACATTCATTTAACATTCCAAATCAGTAAATTGTGGGTGCAAATAAGGTTAAGGTAACATTTTGGGACATGTTCTTTCAGCTTAAGAAAAAAATCTGGGAATGTTAAGAAAACTGTTCCTAAAATGCTAAATTGTTGATGCAAATTATGTTAAATTTACTTTCAGAGAAATGTTTTGCTAAGTTTTTTAGAAACATTACAAAAAGGGGACATTTTTAACAATCAGGGAACATTCCAGATCAATAAACTGCAGATACGGTTGCGCTAAAGTTCTGGGAAACGTTCTTCTGACTTAAGAAAAATATTCTGGCAACATTAAGAAAACTGGGCAGTCTGAATTTTCAGAAAATCAACATTCAAAGAACATCAAATTGTTGGTGCAAATGAAGTTGAGGTATCATTCTAGGTACTGTTGTTCTAACCTCAGTGAAATGTTCCATGAACGTTGAGAAAACTGAACTTGTTGAATGTTCATGGAACATTTCAACTAAGCTACAACTTCCCAGAATGTAACCTCAATCTCTTTTGGACCCACAATTTGATGTTCTTGAAATGTTGATTCTCTGAATGTTCAAACTGTCCAGTTTTCTTAAATTAGAAGAACAATCAGGGAACATTCCAAATCAGTAAATCACATTCCAAAAAAGTATATCCCATTAACCTCTACTGAAAAACAAGTTAAAGTAACGCTCAGTCATGTACAAACATTGTGGAGAGTTTTATCAAGGTTATGTGACGTTATTAGAAAACTGCTTTAATGTTACTTTGAGAGCGTTTGCTCCTAACTCCTTACATAACATTAGCCAAAAGTGTGGGAACTTGCCCTGTAGGCTGGGCCAATGCAGCACGTAATTCCAAATTAGGTACTACTTATTCCTTTATTGAATATTATTACAGCCCAATTGATTATAATCAACGCAATCATTCCAACATTGTTCCAGTTGAATGAATACTTTAGATCGATGCGTTTTCACAGCTCTACTTTTATAACAGCCAACAACTACTAATACAGAAAACCGCTCCTCTACCTGCATACAGAAACATTCATAAGATATTTCACATTACAAGGCCAAATGTTACCTCAGAACTCACGAGGGTCATCTATCCATCCTCTTTTCCAACGGGGGGCTCTGACAGACCACTGAAAAGGTCAAAGTTCTCACATTTCTGGCCTCCTCACAAAGTCCTTGAGCTCCTTCAGCTGCAGTGCCATCTGTAGGCCAGAGGCCAGGAGTATAGCAGTAACCACAGCCAGAAGTCTCAAGAGATGGGATGAACTGGACAAGAGATGAGACTACATGCATGTGTAAATAACACGGTTGTGTTTTTCACACTGAAATCTTGTCCTTAATTTTGTGCTGGTAATGAAAATTTAGAATCTGATAATGGCTAATGGGCAAAAAAGTGATGAATTCTATTTACACAACAATCCAGTTCTTTTTGCACAATTTCATGATATTCATGATATATTTATGATATATTTACAAATATGTAACCAGGACAACATGCAGTAGCATAGTATATAGGGAAATATATGGTATATATAGGGTTATTTGAAGGTTACTTCCATAAAGACTTTGTAACACAGGCATAAGCATTTAATAAAGTATTTATAACACAATGCTTGGTCTTCTAAGCTTCATAACAGTGTTATAAATGGAACAGATGTCCATCATTTTAGTTTAAGGCCAAAACAATGTCATTTACTTCATAAAACATCTTGTGTTATCTTGTAATTGCTAGCAAAACTGGTTCATAATTATTCAAGCATTGCTTTACTAATGCTTTATTCAAGGCTTATGCAGGTGCTGTAAAGTCTTTATGTAAACCTCTGGGAATTAAATAAATGAATAGTGGTCTTTGACTTTTGCATGTTGTCACTGCCAAAACAATCATACCAGACTTCAGTAGTGACTGTTTCAGACATGATCATTTTAGCTGATTTTGAGCAGAACTCAAAAAATGTTAGCCAGTACTTGACTAGCAAACACAGCTTTGAACATTTTACACAAAAGTCATGATATTTTTCATTATAACACAAAAAGTACAGAAAATATGCCAAAAATGCAGAAAATATTTGTTTCAGTAGTGACAACTCTTAATGTTTCACACTGATTTTCACACTTTGGGACACATTTACTTCAAAAAAATGGGATCTACCTGCTGACTCTGTGGCCATGAGGGACTGGGATGTAGTCTCACTTCCTGCTCTGAAATGCAAGGGTGTGGCTAAAATAAGGCCCCGCCTGCATACTAAAACACTTTTGTGTTTTGGTAGTAACATAAAAACGTGAGATAGCAGTTTTTGAACAATTTTTAAAAATTTTTTATTTAAACTTATGATAAATCTAAATCTTTCAACTGAAAACAAATAAAACCATCTTAAAACATTAATAAATGAAAGTATTATTTTCACAAGTGTAAACAGGGTTTGGGACAAACACCTCCCAACAGAAAGTAGACTATGTATTATGATTTTGTATATATTTAGCTTATCACTATCTCTTTTAACACCTTGAGTTATATATATATATATATACACAAAGCACATTTGCAATGCAGCTCAAGGTTTTATACATCCCTCATTGGATAGCTGCACACACACACACACACACACACACACACACATTTAGGGCCGGCATGTGCCCCAGTGTTGTCTGGCGTGTCTGTACCCGCCTAACTGATCTAAGTTCTAATCAAACATCATTTAGGTTCCATCTCACCCCGTTCCCGCGGGAACTGCCACCCTGGCGATGGTCGCCAGGCAACCAGGCTCTCATTTCTGAAGTGTCGGTTTGCATTATTGTCTTCACGCTCTCTGGTGATACCCCCAGCCCCGCATAGTCGCACACACACATGCTCGAGCACATCAACAGTTTTCGCGAATGTGAAATGCACCTTAGTTCATTTACACGCAGCAGAGCTGCTAACTTTTCCACTTAGTAAATATAAAATCACAGTGCAAACATTCATAGTTGCACATGTTTGTAAAGAATGTACAAAGGAAAATACCTTCAGGACTGATAGCAACACCTACATGCATGCACGCGCATACAGAGTTCAGTTATTCCTGAGTTTGTTTGTAACTTATTCTTTGTAGTGAGTATGAAGGCCTTCAGTTTGGGCTGTAAATGTGAAAACCAAAAAAATTAGGAAAAATTCTGCTAGCACACCTATGGGGCTCTAGTAGTAAGCGATTCATATCAACTTTTTTCAGTCTTTCTACATTAAATACTGACATCTGAAGCTTGTAACAGACATTAAAGGGCCCATATCCCACATTTTTCTGTTCTTTTTATCTCCAATAGCCCACTTATAACGTTTGTATGGCTTTTATGCACCAACAAAAGCCATAATTCATTTGTACAGGCTGTTTTTGTTACAGCGCTTTTAAGACTAATATATGCAACTTAGCTTTGTTCTCATTGGCGGCCTCCTTAAAAATCACCCGGCTAGTTCAGTTGGTAGAGCATGAGACTCTAAATCTCAGGGTCGTGGGTTCGAGCCCCATGTTGGGGGTGATTTGTGATTGCTTTTAGAGCCCGGATAGCTCAGTCGGTAGAACGTCAGACTTTTAATCTGAGGGTCTAGGGTTCAAGTCCCTGTTTGGGGCAGTCGTGAGCAGGAGGTTAGGGAACCTTGTGACTGGAAGGTCACCAGTTCGATCCCCTGAGCTGACAGTATGTGACTGAAGTGACCCTTGAGCAAGACACCTAACCCCCAACTGCTCCCTGGGTGCTGTGGATAGGGCTTTCCACCACTTCCACCTAGTGTGTGTGCACACTAGTATGTATGTGGTGTTTCACTGCACGGATGGGTCAAACATGGAGGTGAAATTTCCCTGTTGTGGCACTAATAAGGGTCACTTAACTTAAATGCAGCCTAGGCTGACACACTCCTTATAACTGTAACATGAATAGATATAAATAGCTTGCATATATGGACAGTACAGACTGGGAAGTGAATGATATGAAATGTTATGTTTCATAACCCATCAAACATGTTTATTTAAAAAAAAAGAAAAAGAAAAAAAATGCAAATTGGTCATGTGACATGGGCAGTTTAACATATATTTTACTTTGTATGTTGCAGCTCTGCAGCGAATCCGTAGGTGTTGGTGATAATCACAAATCGGCATGCATGAATGCGCGGCCAGTAAACACACAGCACTTGACAGAAACACACTAACACAGGTCACTTTGAAGCCAGTAGGCCGGCCAGTGTTTATGCTTATGAGAGCAAGTGGAGAAAAACAGTGTCCACAAATATCTACAGCAGCGTCTACTGCACATTACTGAAGACACGTTTAATCATTAAAGGAACAATCTGGCCAAGATGAAAGACATAAACAGTGCTTCATCTGTTGTAAACATGCTTACTCACCTCCTACAGTGGTGCCACAATACTGTCTAGATATTTTCTGGTTTGAAGACGATGAAAACTCCCTTCTAATGATGTATCTTGAAGTGGGACAAACTTTTGAAAAACTACAACAGCTTTCGCATGGATGCTTGAAGGGAAATAAGGCCTGATAGCTAATGTCGCTGCTAGGATGTTGCTAGCCTCAACACACAAAATCCTTAATTAAGGTAATCCAATAAGGCTGAGTTTTGAGTTTAGAACCACTGGCCAACAGCGCTTGCACACAGAGGAACTTGACCTATGCATTTAGCCCATCCATGCAGGGAAACACCCACGTACACAAACTGGTGAACACACACACTAGGGGGCAGTAAGCACACTCACCCAGGGTAGTAAGCAGCCCTATCCACAGTACCCAGGGAGCAGTTGGGGGTTGGATGCTCACTCAAGGGCACTTCACTCACGTACTGTAAGCTTACTGTCGGCTCAGGGTATTGAGCCAGCAACCTTCTGGACACAAGGCTGGCTCCAGACTGCCCTGCAGGGATGCAATGCTGCGCTTCAGAATACAACAATAACACCACGAACATACTGAATACTAGTTTTAAGGTGGAAAGCCCCTTTAACTTACAAGAAGAGATGGAGATGCCAGGTCTTAGAAAGAAGGAGAAAGAGGAAATGTTTGAGGAATAAAGATCTTTTTGCATAAGTTTCATTTGTACATTGCCTTTTAGCAATAGGCGAAATGAACATCCAACTGAGCAGTGGTAGGAACAACTTCACACACGCACGCATAGGCGCACACACATGTGTTGGGGGATGGAGGGGGAGGGATGTGTTAATTTGGATGTGTTCAGCCTGAGAGAGTTCTCTGGTTAATACGGGAGAAAGCTCCGTCTTTTAGTACTCTCCTTAAACACGCTAGCTTCTGGAATAAACTCCTTTATTCCTCTCCTTGAGTCTTACACTCCCCATACTTTATTAGAAACCAGCCACTCTCTGTCCACTTTATGAGCTCCACCTACCTTATAGATCCACTTTATAGGTGTACAATGACAGACTGTACCAGCTGCGCATTCATCACTTGTCAGTTTCTGAGCACAGGAGTGCAGTTAACCAGATATTCCTTGAGTGGTGCATGGGGCCATAACCAGGATCAAAATTTGTGTGACCATTTTGCAGAAATGTGATATATGTGATGAAGTTGATTCAGAGTCAAGTCTCAAGGCTCTGAGGTACGAGTCCGAGTTGATTCTTGACTCTCCTGGGTACGAGTCTAAGGTGAGTCTTGAGTCTCTAGGGTGCAATTCCCAAGTCTCTGGCATGTACGTTTGTGGTGAGTCTCAAATCTCTGGGGTGTGAGTCCGAGTCGAGTCCCAAGTCTGAGTTGAATCTTCAGTCACTATGCTGTGAGTCCCAAGTCTTTGAGGTGTGAGACCAAGGTGAGTTTTAAGTCCCTGGGGTGCAATTTCAAATCAAGTTTGAAGTCTCTGTGGTCTGATTCTGAGTCGATTTTCAAGTGCGAGTCAATTCTTGATTCATTGGGTTGTGAGTCCAAGGCAAGTCTCGAGTCTCTAGAATATCAGTCCGAGTTGATTCTCAAATACAATTCGATTGTCAGTTTGCTGGGCTGTGAGTCTGAGGCAAGTCTTGAGTCTCTAGGATGTGAGTCCCTGAGTCTCTGAGTCCAAGATGAGTCTTGAGGTTCTTTGTTGTGAGTCTAAGTTGAATCTAGAGTGTCTTGGGTCTGTGAGAGAGTCTTGTTCTCTGGGATGTGAGGAACCCAAGTCAAGTCTCTAGTCTCTGGATTGTGAGTCCAAGTCGAGTCTTCAATCTCTGGGATGTGAGGAGTCTGTGTCGAGTCTATATATCGAGTGTGTGTCTTTGGGATTCAAGGAGCCCGAGTCGAGTCTATAGTCTCTGGGGTGGGAGTCTGAGTTGAGTCTTGAGTCTCTGGGATGTGAGGAGCCAGAGTCAAGTCTCTAGTCTCTGGGGTGGGAGTCCAAGTCGAATCTTCAATCTCTGGAATTTAAGGAGTCTGTGTCGAGTCTGTAGTCTCTGGGGTGCATGTCCAAGTTGTGTTTTGAGTCTTTGGGATTCAAGGAGCCCGAATCGAGTCTCTAGTCTCTGGGGTGGGAGTCTAAGTTGAGTTTTGAGTCTCTAGGATGCTAAGAGTTCAGGTCTTAAGCCTGAGTTGAGTCTTGAGTCTCTGGGTGGGAATCCAAATCAAGCCTCAAGTCTCTGTGGTGGAAGTCTGAGTTGAGTCTGAAGCCTTTAGCTGGACATTTTTGTCCAGTATCCACTACACACTCCTACCAAAAACCTGTAAGTTTCAACATGGCTTCAAACAACAAGCCCTTCATTATATAAAATGGAACTGAAGCTACATGCAGTAATTGCAGTGTTTAAAAAATATAGGCAGAAAAACTTGAAACAGTTGAAAAGCTGTTCTGAGGTAAGCCGAGAAGCAATCTTTGAGTTGTCTTAGGATGCAAGCTTTGTGAACGGCAGGCAAATGTATTATCAGGATGTTTCTGTTTCCTTGGTGTCCTGTGAGCTAGTCCATGGTAGTGGACCATTCTCAACTCAGCAGCGACAGCGACATGGTAGTGACATGGTGGTGTATGTGGCGCCGTTACAAGAGCAGTACTGCTAGGGTTTTTACACACGTAGTGTCACAGGGTCAAGAGTCGACCAGCACCCAAAAACGTCCAGCCAAGGGCAGCTCTGTGGTCAGAAACTGCCATTGATGAAGGGCTAGAGGATGACTAACACAAAGAGTGCATCAACAGAGAAGCTCCAGTGTCTAACTGTACACCAGCAAGGTGGGGGTTTCTGATAAAGTGGCCAGGAAACAGAACAGAATGTGATGGAGCGAAACTGGCAAAACTACAGTGGACTTGACTGAACCTCTTGCGCGTGGACAAGACGACAGGCTTGACTGTGCTTGTGTTTGTGCGACAGTGCACGTGCAGTCATATCAGATGTTTGTGGTGAGGTGTGTGTGCCCCAGCGAGAGGAAAAAGAGCGTGCTCTCTGAATGCATTAGCGCACAAGCGCGTTAAAAGGAGAGAAAGAGAGAGAGAGAAAGAGAGCGAGGAGCTAGGTGGCAAGAGCCCGCACGCTGCTAGATATGATTCATGCGCGGCGCGCGTTAGCCTAACAGCCCGGCGCGAGGTGCGAACACGTCGAGGAGCCTCGCTCAATTACCGCGCGTTTCCACTGATGCCGCAGCTGTTCATTTTTAGGCCTCGGGAAAAAAAAAAAACGTGTTAGATTTACCACTTCCATGCCTGGCTGTCGATTTGAGCCCCTCGGAGGTCCCACTTTTCTTCCCCCCCTCCTCCACCTCTCTTGTTTATTGTATAATTTACAGATCTGCTTGCCTGCATTGCTGCTGCGCGTTAATACACACACATGCACGCGCACACACACACTGGCAAAACCCTGTGTGGGACTAATGCGAGGAATTGGGCTTGTAGGCCGAGACAGACAACTGACCCCATTTGCAGAACAGGAAAAAAATGACTTAAACAAGCCTGAACGTCGCAGACGTTCGTATTCGTTTAATTTTTGCAGCAAACCAGCAGCGCTCAGCACGCCTGAAGCAGCTGGCAAGGCTTGATGGCTTCGGAAGCTTGAGATGAAGAAACAGCTGGAGGTTTTTTGGGACTGTATAGGTTTTTATTCCCCTCTTCTAACAATGATGATGATGTGGTCACTGTAAAAAACTTTAAAACAACACACCTTGGCCTAATATAAGGGAAGCGGTTGTGCAATACATTGTCGATGCAATGATATAGTTTATTTTGGTGAATGGGGACATTATAATGCCTCTATAAAGCCCTTACTAAGCCTTAGCAACCTAGACCTTAGTAATTGACTGCTTATTACTATTTAATTAAACAATAATAAGGCTGAATTAAGCTTTTCTTTTCCACAGCGCTTTTTTGTTTGCATATTATGTATTATAATCTTCTGCACAGCATTTTAGGTCTGCTTTATTATGCCCTTATTAAGCTTTATAAATTCAATAACTTGTAATAAACTGAATAATTGTTAAATAACTGGCTGCTTATAACTACTTTGTTAAGCAGAAGGAATTAAGCATTTTCCAGAGAACTTTATAATCTGTATTTTACAAGATAATCTTCTGAACACTTTAGGTGCCCATTGTAACATTAAAATATAATTACGTGGCTGCTTATTAGCACTTTATTAAGCATTAACAATGCTGGATTTGAGGATTGTA